AGAACTTCCACCTTGCTTTTGGGAATCCTGCATACCCAACAAAGTACAGCCCCAGTGAGTGTGTGGGAGAGCTTCTGTGCTCTCAGCCCCCACTCCTCGTACCCCTCCAGATGCATCCCAGACCTGGCACACAGGCTTGGGGTAAAAACCTGCAGCTAAAGTCCCTGCAGTGAGGCTAGGGTCAAAGCCACATGCTAATCCAGGAACAGATCATCTTACCAGATGGGTACAGTAGGCCCACCTCCAAGGGCAACAACAATAAGCAGCTGAGCACAGTAGCCAGACCCAAGCCAGGCACAACTGCATGAACTAGGACTTGGTATATCAGTACCCGAATTTCATTAAATGATAAGGACATAATTGCACCAGAGATCTAAGCCAAAGGTCAGAGGTCAGTGCTATATGAAATGATAAAGAAAAGGAGTAAAATGCAATCTCAGGCCTCAAGCCCAACCATAACAAGTGCAGAGGACACTAGCTCAACTGAAATAAATGAATCAATAGCTTTGGAAGTAAACAAACAACAGCAGAAAGATACAGAGGAATGCAGAGCAGAATTAATTTCTGGAACAAAAAAAAAAAAAAAAGAAAACTCTGAATTCATAGCATCTAAACTTAAGAATTGGAGCTGGGGAGATGGCTCAGTGGAATAAGCGCTTCCCTGGCAAGCACAGGGCCTGAGTTCAATCCCTGGTTCCACCAAAAAAAAAAAAAAAAAAAAAAAAGATAAGTAATATTTTCAAAACAAAACAAAAACAAATAAGTAAATAAACTTAAGAATCAAATGCAGAAACATATGGAGGAAACACAATGCCCACCAAGAACAAATGCAGTGGACACTAACTTAGCTGAAATATATGAATTAGTAGCATCAGAAGTAAATAAGCAACTGCAGAAAGGTTTAAAGGAATTCAGAGTAGAATTAGTGTCTGAAATGAAAAAAGAAATCTCTGAATTCATAGCACCTGAACTAAAGAATCAAATACAGAAACATATAGAAGAAACCTAATCTGTAAAAAACTCTGCAGTAAAAGAATTAATAACTGTTTCTAAAGAGGACATTGATAAAAAAAATACAGGAGATTTAAAAAAATGATGGATACATTGAATGAGCAATACAGGAAAGAAATAGATCTCATGAAGCAGAGTCAAAGAGAGAGAGAAGAACTTAAAATCTCAATCACAAGCCTGCAAAACCGTTTGAGTGAAAGTGAAGATAGAGCTTGAGATCTTGAAGATGCTGATGCAGCTAGTGAAAAGGTAAGAAAAGATATTTTAAAAACAACTAGGATTAAAAAAAAAAAAAAGAAAAGAAAGAAAGAAAGGAAAGGAAAACAGGCCGGGGAGATGGCTCAGGGGAAAAGCGCTTCCCTGGCAAGTGCAAGGGCCTGAGTTCAATCCCCAGTTCTGAAAAAAAAAAAAAAAAAAACTAGGATGTAGGAAAAAAATAATTCATGACCTACAAGACGATGCAAAGATGAACAATGTGACACTAACAGGCATCAATGAGAATGAAGGGGTCAATACAAATGATATAAAAAGAATATGGGCAGAAGTAATAGCAGAAAACTTTCCAAATATGAGGAAACAATCTGATATTCAGGTAACTGAAGCAGACAAAACTCAAAACAACTTCAACCCAATAAAAAACACACCAAGACATATAACAGTCAAGATCCCAGAAATCCAACACAAGAATAATATACTGAAAGCCACTAGAGAAAAGAAGCAGATCACACTCAAAGGAAAACCCATCAGAATTACAGCCGACTTCTCTTCACAAACCATGAAGGCAAGAAGAGCATGGAGCAGAGTAATTCAAGCCCTCTATGAAAACAAATTCCAACCCAGACTACTATACCCTGCAAAACTCCTTTCAAGTTTGATAGAGAAGTGAAATACTTCCATGACAAAGAACAACTAAATAATTTCATGATGGCAAAGCCAACCCTACAAAGACTAGTGAAAGGTGCTCTAGAGAGGGACCAAAATGATCAGAACTCCACCAATGAGAACAGAAAAAACCCACTAAATAGGACAAACAATTAAACACAGGAGAAAAAAAGAGTTAAAAGCAGCATTTAAATAACATGTCAATCGTAAGTCAACACATCACAATTATAACCATCGATCAAATGGACTCAAGTCACTAATTAAGAGAAATAGATGGGCACAGTGGATTAGGAAACAAAACCCAACAATATGTTGTATACAAGAAACACACTTAACTCATAAAGAAACTCATAGGCTGAAAGCCAAATGATGGAAAACAATACTATGTGCCACAGCACTTCAGAAAAAAGCAGGGGTAGCAATCTTGTTCTCAGACAGTCTCAACTTCAAACCAAGAATGATCAAACGAGATAAAGAAGGCCACTATATACTAGTTTGGGGAAAAATTCAAGAGGAAGAAATAACAATCATAAATATGTATGCACAAACACAGGAGCACCCAACTATATAAGACAAACCTTAATAGACATGAAAAATCTAATATCCAACACAACAATCTTAACAGGAGACCTTAACACCCATTTATCCCAAAAAAGATAGATCGACCAGACAAAAAATTAGCAAAGAAGTAGCACAATATAACCAGAGCTTGGAACAAATGGGCTTGGTAGACATATACAGAGTGTTGCACCCAACCACAGCAGAATACACATTTTTTTCAGCTGCACATGGGTCATTTTCTAAAATAGACCACATACTATTACATAGGTCATGCTTAAGTATATGCAAGAAAATAGAAATTATCCCATGCATATTATCTGACCACAGTGCAATGAAACTGGAAATAAACAACAAAAGAAACCAGAAAAAGCCCTAAATACATAGAAATTAAAAAACACCCTACTCAGCAATCAATGGGTTACAGATTAAATTAAACAAGAAATTCAACAGTATCTACAATTCAATGAAAATTCATCCACAACTTATCGGAATTTATGGGATGCAATGAAAGCAGTTCTCAGAGAGAAGTTCATAGCTGTGAACTCACACATTAGGAAAACAGAACAAGAACAAATAAACACTCTAATGCTGCACCTCCAACATCTAGAAAAGGAAGAGCAAACCAAACCCAGAGCCCAAAGACAGGAAGAAATCATAAAGATTAGAGCAGAAATTAACTCAATTGAGATGAAGAAAATAGTTCAAAGAATTAATGAATCAAAAAGCTGGTTCTTTGAAAGATTAAACAAAATTCATAAGCCCCTAACTAACCTCATCAAAAAGAGGAAAGAAAAAATTCAAATACAAGCAATAAGGAATGAAAAGGGTATAACTACTACAGACCCAGTGGAAATTCAGAAGATTATCTATAGCTACTTTAAGAATCTTTACTCTCACAGAATAGAAGCCACAGACAAAATGGACAAATTCCTAGAAAGGTACAAATTACTGCAACTGAATCAAGAAGATATAACCACTCTCAATAGCCCAATAACAGCCAATGAAATATGAAATGTAATAAAGAGCCTGCCGACAAAGAAAAGTCCAGGTCCTGATGAATTCACAGCTGAATTCTACAAGAAATTCACAGAAGATATAATCCCTACACTCCTCAAACTCTTCAATGAAATTGAAAAGGAAAGAGTTCTCAAAAATCATTCCTGGAGGCAAGTATTATACTGATACCAAAAACCAGGGAAAGACGCAACTAAGAAAGAGAACTACAGGCCAATCTCCCTCATGAACATAGATGCCAAAATCCTCAATAAAATCCTAGCAAATAGAATGCAGCAAATCATCAAGAAGATCATACACCATGACCAGGTAGGATTCATTCCAGGGATGCAAGGATGGTTCAATATTTGAAAATCTATAAATGTAATACACTATATCAATAGAGTGAAAACAAAAAACCACATGATCATCTCAATTGATGCAGAAAAGGCTTTTGACAAAGTCCAACACTCATTCATGTTCAAAGTCCTACAGAAAACTGGAATAGAAGGCCTCTACTTCAATCTGATAAAAGCCATCTATGACAACCCAATGGCTAATATAATTCTCAATGGGGAAAAACTGAAATCTTTTACTCTCAAATCAGGTACAAGACAAGGATGTCCTCTATCACCCCTCCTATTCAATATAGTTCTGGAATCATTAGCTACAGCCATTAGACAAGACAGAGAAATAAAAGGAATTAGAATAGGTAAAGAAGAAGTGAAACTATCATTATTTGCAGATGCGGGATATATGATACTTTATTTGGAAGACTCAAAAAATTCCACCAAGTACTAGAATTGATAGACAAAATCAGTAGCATAGCAGGATACTAAGTCAATACCCAAAAGTCAATAGCATTCTCCTACACAGATAACAAACAAACTGAGAGGGTAATTAAAGACTCAATACCTTTTACAATAGCCCTGCGAGAAATGAAATATCTTGGAATTCATCTTACTAAGAAAACAAAGATCTTTTCACGGAAAATTACAGTACTCTTAAAAAAGAGATCATAGAGGATTTCAGAAAATGGAAAGATGTTCCATGCTCCTGCATAGAAAGAACCAACATCATGAAGATGGCCATACTCCCGAAATTGTTGTATAGATTTAATGCAATCCCTATTAGACTACCACCAACATACCTCCCAGACCTAGAGAAATTTTCCTAAAATTTATTGGGAACCAGAAAAGACTTAGAACAGCAAAGGCAATCCTGGCCAACAAAGACAAAGCAGGAGGCATTACAATCCCTGACTTGAAATTATACTACAAAGCAACTGTAATAAAATCAGCATGGTATTAGCAACAAAATAGACCTGAGGATCCATGGAATAGATTAGTAGATGCAGAGGCCTCTAAGAACGCACTCAGCCACCTGATCTTTGACAAAGGGGCCAAACACATTTACTGGAAGAAAGATAGTCTCTTTAACAAATGGTGGTGTTTGCAGCCGCCGCCGAGCTGCCGTCACTGTCTAACGCCAGTGCCGCCTCTCGCTCGCTGAGCTCCAGCCAAAGGAGAAAGGGGTAAGGAGGTCCCAGTACCATGGCTCGTACCAAGCAGATTGCCCGTAAATCCACCAGTGGTAAAGCACCCAGGAAACAACTAGCTATAAAAGCTGCTCATAAAAGTGCGCCCTCTACTGGAGGGGTGAAGAAACCTCATCGCTACAGGCCTGGGACTGTGGCACTCCGGGAAATTAGACGTTATCAGAAGTCCACTGAACTTCTGATTTGCAAACTTCCTTTCCAGCGTCTGGTTCGAGAAATTGCTCAGGACTTCAAAACAGATCTGCGCTTCCAGACTGCAGCTATTGGTGCTTTGCAGGAGGCAAGTGAGGCCTATCTGGTTGGCCTGTTTGAAGATACCAACTTGTGTGCCATCCACGCCAAACGTGTAACAATTATGCCAAAAGATATCTA